ATTTTCTCGAAAATCAACAAAATAAAGTGTTGTTGATGATTATATCTAGTGTTCATATTTCGGCATTTATTGTAATCTCTCTGTAATTTTAGTGTTAGTTAGTGCAAAATAGTTTGTCAACATTTATACAGACATTGCTTGTTTTCTTTCTTCTTTTTTCTATCGAGAAAACGTTGATGTATTTTGTAATAATCTTGTTTTTGAGTACACATTAATTTTTCAAGTTTACCTAACATTCTGTGTTAAGTAATATCGTAAGTGTTGCAATTTATTTGTGGCTGTAGCATTTTAATATCATACTTTTTAGCCATCCGTGTATACATGGTATATTACGTTTTCTAGGTAACTCAGTTAATGGGATATATCTCATATCGTTTTTTTTTTATATTTTATAGAACTCTTATAAGTTTTTAGTTAAGGTAATTGAAGTGACACTAGTATTATCATCTTTAAAACATTGTTGCAATACCCAATATATGTTTACTTGTTATCTCACTTAAAGCAGATAACTAGCTTGTTACAAATAATAATAATAATAATAATAATGCAGTCCACCAACGTCTTGCTCACTAGAAGACCAAAGATAACGAACTATGTTGCATCATATGTGAGAGACAAATACTATGTGTTGAAAAATCAAAGTTAAATGTCAATTAAAACAATGTGCACGCAAAAAACATTAAGAGATATATCAAATGAAAGCACATTATTGTTCCCTCTGATAGATCTACAATAGAATCAGCGTTGTTACCTGCATTATTTTTTACAATTTTTAATGCACTTTATTTTTTGACTTCTAACCATATACGTTGGTGTAACGCTGAAGCCGGTACATTTATTATCTGAACACATAGACGAATACTAGTTTACTGCGTCCTACTTGCCATTCGCAGGGGACGCTGTGAACCATTGAACGTCCAATCTCAGTAATGTAATACCCTCGCTAATACATGTAAATAATCAGTCCAGATTTAAAACACAATTATATCATCGCTAGGATCATTATATAATCAACATCACTTGGGCCAAATTTAACGTTGGGGCGCTTTTCAGTGTCAGAGAGTTTATCTATAGAATACACAGGGTGAGGGCGCTGTACGAAAATGTTATCATAAATTCATTCGTAGAAATTGTGAAGAGTACTCACAATCACGCGCCATAATTCAGAAATGTTGGCAGGGTTTCGTATAGTTGGACACATTAATTGTAAATGCGAACTCACAGTACAAGCGTAATTCATTTGGTAGTTTGAGTATACAAGAGTTGATAGACAGAATTACCATACCGATTATCTGCACGGTTAAAGAACCCATCAGCGGTCAGCAGTTCTTGTGATAAACGAGAGATGGTGTCACCCAAGAGTCACTGAAAATTCAGGTTTTAAGGAGGAGGCCGACTGCTTCCCACAGTGCTGTCTCAAAATAAGTGTGAACACTATGGGAAATATGTGTTGACTAATTCAAACTTGCAAGCTAAACTAATATCTCTACTATGGGGGGGGGGGGTAACTCCACCATCTAATGAGTGTACTTTTCAACACGACAACGATTCTTACAGCCGTTCTGGGAATTATTCGAACAGTCAGTTAGCAAAATGATTTGCAACTTTGAAAAACACTTTGCTCTTTGTCCAATTGACGGTGCCACTTGATTGACGGGAGCGTAGTTTAGGGTTACTATTGCATAGGGGTTGTCGGCATGGCGAATTGCAAGTATTATCTAGCGTGCGTTTACAGCAACCATTCTTTATTTTTTATATTTATATTGTAATTATTTTCAGTAATTTTAAAAATCGTATGTTGCGTGTTGCTTAAATTTGTCGAAAAATGTCAACCTCTCGCTCATTTAGTCAGTTGTAGCTGTCACAAACATGGACTAGACATAATAACGGTCGTCATACCCCGTCATTTTCAAACTGCAGTTGGAAAAGTGATTCGCACAAGGAAGGCACTTTTGATTTGACAAAGTCCATCAAACCGTTATAATCGAGTATCCGTCCGTGTATCCCTTACGTACTCTCCCACCTCGGTATAAAATCTGAATTTGATACATAATGCACCAGTAATGTAACAACAAACTAAGCTAAGAAACTTTACCTTTGAGCCTTCCGTGAAGTTCATTACTACCTGTAGTTACTCACCACACGGGAGTTATTTTGTAAATTGCAGGTGGACTCAGATACAACATATAACCTGTTAATGTATGGTAACCAACGCGTGTCGTTTTGAAAACAGCGTTTTACCCGCATCTAGCAAGATTGTGGGCGTACCAATACAACGGCGCCATCAAGTCTAGATTGGAAAATGACCCAAGTGTTTTGCAAAACTCCAAGATATATTGCTAAATAATTCTCAGAACGGCTGTAAATACAACGATTTCTTCATGGTCTGAAACACAGCTCTGCCAATGATTTCTGAATTGTTGGAAAATTAGAATATTAGTATATTATCTTTTTTCGACTTCGCTGATAGTGATTTCTAGGCTAATTAATATTCATCAACTCAATTCCTTATTAAGAATATCCTTATTAAATATATGACAAATAGTACTTATACCACGAATCCTTGTTTTCATAAGTTACTCATACAGCTGCAATCACTATGAACAGTGCTCACCGTCATGCAATCTCGAATAAAACACTCACAGTGCAAGGCTAGTTCATCAACATGTCTATTCTCTTGCTTGAGTGTGAAAGTACATGGTTTAGTGACGACCTCTGTTTTTTTTAGAAAGTAGAATTTATTTTATTTGGGAAGGGTCTTCTATAAAAATATAACAGATGTAATGAATAAATTTTAATATTTTATTGTAATTTCAACACTAGATGTGGTCACTGGCTTGAAAATGGTAGTATCGCAGAAATTGAGCTGGAGATCGACTGCAAGCCCCCATGGGTACAAGTTATAATATGTTTTGGGGTAAGTGAATGAACTGTATACCTTCATTAATTAGAGCATCATTTGATGTTCACTGCTTGTAATATTGTAATTAATTAATTTTTATATTTTATTTTAATTTCAAGACTAGATGTGATTCACTGCCTGGAAAATGGTATATCACAAAAATTGAGCTGCAGTTAGACTTCAAGCCCCCATGGGTACAGGTCATAAGTCCTTGATCAATTATAATGTTTACATGGTAGTGTATGTTCTCAATACCATGTATACAGTGAAAATAAAGAAAAAGGGAGAAGTTCTCGCAAAGCATGATTAGAAGTACACCTTCAAATATGGAGTTACTCAACTTATTCATGCACAAATAAATAGAAAATTACATTAATATAGAAAATTACTTTTCCCAATCAACGACTCACAAATAAAAAAAAACATGGTACAGTCATGTCAACTGGAAAGACAATCGAATTCAGCCTCGAAACATTACCAACACAGAGAAAGTTATTGTAATGCCTTAAGTCGATACTAAATGACTTTTGTTATCTCGTTCTTGTTATGTTTATCTTGTTTTTTTAGGCGTGTGTCTAGTAGTACAATCGCAACATATATAATATCTGATATCGATAAAGTATGATTCCTAAATGCTTGGATGTGTGAGCAAATACATTTGGGTAATTTAATATTGTTTACTGGTTTTTAATTTCACTATTTCGAAAGTAAGTAAAATCCGCTAAATTAAAAAATTGTAAAATGACAAAAGAACTATTTTATATGCAAAATTTATCAAAATAGTGAAACGGTTTAATTGTGCAATGTAGTTACCAGTTATATACACTGTGAAGAATTCAGATCACCATGAACACAATCTATCGATGTTTTGCCGTATTAGTGTGTCGTTATCATTACAACAATGGGGGAGTCTTGTGTATATTGATAGGAATTTATATGTACTGATCCCCTTCCCGCCTCAACGGTAAGAGATGTCGGGAGGCAATTTTTACTTTTTTATATTCAACATTTGCAGACTACACGGTTATATTAAACCCATTATATGGTTATGAGAGCAAGATATTATTAAAAATTAGTATCTTGATATAATATCTCAAAATCGGTTTTTAGGTTTTTGGTTAAACAAATTCCAGGTTTATCGACGTACAACTTATTACCCACTGTTACATTGCTTATTCGCACATTCTACCAATCATGCTAGAAACTATCTGCTTGCAGTTACCTGGAAGACTGGGGAATAGTGTTGTCGTATTTGTAACATAATTAGAACTCAAACGTTTTTTTCCACATCTTTGTATTGAATTAACCTTTATACATTACTTATCTACTGAATACCCACATTTGCGATGTATAATCCATTTGATATAGCGTCATTGAATATAATGAATCAAAACCATACTGCTTAACTACAAATCTAAATATCATAATTGTTGTATATTACACATTATATCATCACAGATAATGTTGAAAAATCCAAATATCTAAAACTGATAAAGATGTTACCACGTTCGTCCTTTCCCCAGTTATGGCATTCCTAATCACATCTATAATATGAACATATACAAATGATTAAGCTATATAAATTTGTGAAAGAAAGATATTACCACTGTAATATCTCAGCATAATGATTAATTTAAAACCGTGAAGTAAAGAATGTAATTTTTTTATAATCAATGTAATACTTTTACAAACAACTTACTTTTTGTCATTCAATTTCCAGCTTTCGCCAAATTCAAGAACGTCTTTGGCAATGCTACCATCTGGTTTCTGGAAGTCATTGCGAGTATCACCATCTGCATTACCCATTAGACCGCATAGCTTTCCATTGTAAAAAGAACCAGTGTAGGATACATATAATTCGTGCTTTCTGAGAGTCCAATTAAAAGTGAATGTCGTGTCTTTCGAAGTGAAGTGTAGTTTAATACCCTTATCTTCTTCCTGGATTTGTATAACTTTTGCGTCAGTCACCATTCCACCTGTACTTCCCTGTGAAATAAACAAGTGTTGTGTATCTAGCTATGATCTTTGAATTCATAAAAAAATGAATTAAATTATGTGTGGCACATCTCAATTCAACAAATTGGCAACTTACTGTAGTAACATCCAGTCCATCAATAATTGCGTATTGATTTCCAACAGTTACGTTGAATGCGATTGTTCGTGTTCTGACTTGGTCTCGCCATGGTGTACTATCTTCTCTTGGTTCAAACTTGCTTGTGACTTCAAAACGAGGGTTGTCAGTGCAGTCCCTGAATAGATAATACCAGCATGTGCCTTGGAATGTATAAGCACGCCCATCGAATGTCCTCATATGAGGATCACCGCTCACTCCATTAGGAGGACCTGATAGAAACATTTAAACACACGTTATGAATAATTGCTCTGCTTCTGTACATGAAATAAAGAAAATACAAGTGGAGAAACAAAATATGCATCTTTTGAAAATCTTATTTTTTATTCATATGAATGAAGGAGTGAATGAATGAATTAAATAATTAATTAACGGGTCAAACACCATACTCACACTCGCAGACTGCATTATTTTCTGCTGTTTTACAATCATAGTCATCCCATGTTAAATCGCTAGCCCTGTCAAATATAAGTTATTTGACTAAAATATAATTGCATAAGCCACAATAAATCACTATATCATCTTTCGCAATGTTTTACCAACGGGATTATCACGGGATCAATTGGTTATAGATGAGATTCAATGTGATGTAGAAACAATTTAAACGTTAACCCCAAACTATGTTTCGTCGGCATTATTCTTAACTATCATTGTTCGCGGTTACGTGATATTAATTTTGCCTACCTAATATCAACGCAGTCATGAGATCCATAGTAATCTATTGGATGTTTTCAGCCCAGTTATTGTATACAATGTTTTCATCATCAGTGTAGTAAGTGAATCGCCCTTCGTGGTTCAGATCTGTTATCCCAAGCCAATAATAACCTAATAAAATAAAATAAAAACAATTAAATTAAATTAAATTAAATTAAATTAAATTAAATTAAATTAAATTAAATTAAATTAAATTAAATTAAATTAAATTAAATTAAATTAAATTAAATTAAATTAAATTAAAACGCCTTGAAGTATACCTGAAACAAGTACAGCTTGCAAAGCATCGTTTTCGTACTCAGATTTAGGCTGTGCTAATATACAACCAAGGGCTTCACATTTATCTTTTGCACCAGACCAGTTCATGGGCCCATCCAAAACTTTATATACGCTCGAAGGATCTGCATAACAAATAATGGACAATGATTAACAACATACCTATATAGCAATAGAGTGATACCCGCTTGCTGTACATAGTCGGTGTAGCTGCTGATACACAGTATGCATTTTGTGATACTAATTTTATTCAATTATATATAACTAAAGCCCCTAGAGACTACAACGGCTTGCGACTCGAAATTTTTCCCGTTGTACGACTCGTTGTATCCTGGTGCAGTGGTCGTTCACCTCTCGTACGATTTTATATATTGATTGCGACTCAAAGACAACACTTCTACAACAGGACGGACAAAATATTTTCGAAAAAAAAATTATCGCATGAGTGAGGCGCCAATTGTGAAAGGGGCTTAATATCACTGTATTGATACAGTGTTAAATGGGAACTAAATAGCGCCCACATGAGGTATAAACAAAAAAGAAAACAAAGCATACTATCTATCTGATTATATATAAACAACCTGGGGAGCCATAGATGGCTGGATTGGCCTAGGGAGTTTTGACTTTTACTTTTAACATGCCCACGTGCAAATACTAGTATTATGGATGTGCGAATGATCAAGACAGGCATTTTGTTTTTTTTCTTTTTCTGTCCAACTGGTTTCTAATAAATGCTGTTTCCAGTACTGCTCGCTGCTCGAGTATGCAATCCAATCCAGTTTGTAGGGTGGTGGTGGAAAACTTTTCGTTCATGTATTCTGTTCTTTTGTAACACAGACGCTCACTTGCTGTACTGGAAAATCAATGGGACAACTGTCACAGGAACGCCAAGCAGATTGTTCACCGACCGTATTTTGAAATAAAACTATCACCCGAAGAAGGGGCATCGTCGACGTCAGATAGACTCCCGTCACTCACACTAGACTGATCTGAATATTCGCCAAATTCACATTCTACCGTACATCCCTGAATATGTAAAATCGGTAAAAATGAGGGGTTGGCTTATACTCAAAGATGACCTCGGAAAAGATGATTGGGGGGGGGGGGTAACATTGTAATCATCTTACCACCCACTAAAAAATATCCAAATTATATCTTTTGTTCACCAAGCCAGGCTCGGGGAGATATTACTTATTTTTGAAGAAAAAATGCGTCATTGATTTCCCTGCACTTTTACAATGAAGAAACAAACATGTTCATAATAAAACACACATTTTATTACAATACGATTTACATACTGTCCGAATTTATCGTGTACAA